TGCCTCCATCCTCCCAAATCATTCCGGCTGTGCCTTCGGAGCCTGAGTGCCTGGATAGTGGGAGATAAGCACTAGGATTGGTTGGTGAGGGGAGGCTGCAGCGGGCCAGGGGGTGAGCGGTGGGGGGCGGGGGCAGTGGAGCACACCCCTACAGTTTCCAACGCGGGGAAGATGCTCCCTGATTTCATCTGCAGTGTGCAGCCTCTCAAAGCCAGGCACTGCAGGGTGAGCAGGAGACGTGCTGCTCCAGAGCATCACTTTGGTGTTTCTGAGAGGTGTCCATGGAGGGACAGACGGCGTCTCTGGGGAACAGACTGAATACAGTTCTGGAAGTGTCCTACTAGCCTTTTTCCAGTTCTTGTACCAGATCTTCCCCCCTCTCTCCTTTATATGTCCCCCAGGGCAGAGCATACTCTCTGGCTTCTGCAGACGGGGAAGAGCTTTGCCTCACTCTGCATCTGTTGTTGCACTTAGATCTTAGCAGCTCCGTTTATGAGCTGGTGCCCATCATCTCTCTCCTGGACACAGTCAGGCAAGGGAACAAGGAGGGACATAGGGATAAGGAGGCTATACTGCCAAATCCCTGAATCCTGCTGATCACGGAGCAGAAGGTGACAGTCATGGCAGTTCTCCTGGCCAAGGGCCTTACCTGGGGCTGTGCCCTCTGTGCCAGCCCACTGTTGCCAGTGGCAAAATGTATGGCCCTGGTTGGTGGGGAGCAGCATTTGTTTCTCTGTCTACACAACACATTTTTAGTGTATGCAACCCTAAAGTACCTGGCACTTGTGTGTTCTGTGTATCTCCCTGTGCGACAGGTCTGGGGTGTTGTCCCCAGAGCATGGAGGGACACAGCATGGTGCATCCAAGGGATAGCTCTGGCAGGGTCCCTCAAGGCTTCCCAGGGAGTGGTCCTGCAGGACCAAGCAGCATTGCTTCTCTGCAGAAAGCATCACAAGTCCACAAGCAGCACGCAGTTCGGCACACAAATGCTCTCAGCAGGTGCCCTAAGAAGGTGCTGGGAACGCCCCTGCAGTACCACACAGCAAGCTCCCTCTGTGTCTGCAGAGTGGCTGTCCCCACACAATGGGGACATGCCCCCGAACCTCATCTGCTTCTTGTCCTAGTAAAACAGGCTGTCAGCTTCCAGCAATGTAACCCACCCAGCTGGATTTAGAAGAGCACAGCAGGGTGCTCTGGCTGGGTTCCTTAATCCCAAAAGCCCATGGATGCACAAATGTCCTTAGTAGAGTTAATCAGCAGAATTCTCCTCTATAATCCACTGAAAGCAACAACAGCCAGGCTGACTGCCAGGGATGCAGTCAGTTTTGGAGGTCCCCCATTTCGTCCCATTTTTGCAGAGCTGCCATAGATGAGTCCACAGCAGGACCCAATCTGCTGTCCCATAGCCTTCCTGCTCCTGCCTGGACCCAGGATCACCTTCATCTCTCTAGAGCCATCAAGGTAAGCTCCAAATCCTCTGCCAACCTGGAGAGACAGGAGCTAGCAGTGGGCACAGATGGGAGGTGGCAATGGGGACAAAGTCACCCCCAGGAGGTGGGAGCAGGATGAGACATCCATCACGGTCATGAGGTGGGATGTTGGGGCTTGGGGCTGTCAGGCTGTGGCTGCTTCCCAACCCGCTCATCCCTTCACATTTTTCAGGACCCCAAGGTTGGAGAGGAGTGAAGGGACTTACCCTGCTGGCTGTGTCTCTGGGCATACACCACCACCACTGCAGCAAGCACCACGCAGCAGGCTGACGGGACAGGGTTGGCCATCTGTGGAAGCAAACACAGCAGGAGCAGTCAGGGTTTGGCCATAGGAGACCTTGCATGTGGTGGGCTAAGAGCTGGTCCCTGCCGGGCAGCTGAAGTGTGCAATGAGACCACAAGGAGATAGCCATGAAGCGAGACTTCATCTTAGCCACGGGAGAACGCACTGCAAAATGAGGCGTTTTGCTAGCGCACGCTTTGCTGTTCAATGGCCTGTGGCACTTTTTCTGCCAGCAGAACCAGGTGCCTGGAGGCGACGATACGCCTTGCACAAATGCTGCATTTTCCTCTTCTTGCTTTCAACCTTTCCCCTAAGAAAGTCAAGCACTCTGGTGCTGGGCTCTCCTCGGCAGCTACAGCATCACCCTGGGATCAGACATTGCCTGCACATGGATTGCAGAGGTTTTCTGAAGAGACGGGAGCACACCCAGGCACTTCCCAACAGCAACCGGTGCTTAGGGTGTGCAAAATGCAGATCCCAGCATGGGAAGGAAATGCAGCTGCATTTCTGGGCATGTCAGGGACGGCATAACCCTCATCTGTGTCTTCACAGTGACCGCGGGGTGCAGACGCTGGGGAGCAGTGGGGGAGACAACTCAGAAGGCAGGTGGGTAGAGACACGCTGGGCTTTAGGGACAAGCAGCCAATGAGCCTCCCTGTGAGCGGGCAAATGGCAGCAACAACTGCAAGGATACCCTGCGCTGTCCTGCCAGGCTTGGAGACACCCAAAGTCTCCTCCTCCTGCAGCTGGGGCTGGTGGAGGAGACCAGACCAGGACAGAACTGCTGGGGATGGTAATGGGGATGCTGGCCCACCCGCCAGGAGGTAAATAGCATCATGCGTGAAAAAGCAAATTACACCTTCAAAACCGTTTAAACCTCCCTAATCTCCAGCGTGGTATCGGTAACGCGAGGAGGATTGGCTTTTAATCTAGAACATGAGCATGCGCTCGTTAGCCAGATGGCATCCATTTAAAACTAAGTAAAGGGGTAGCTGTACCGGCCAGAGGAAAAAAAATAAAGCAAAACTTATTCCATTACCCAACACGGGCATTGCAGGAGCCCAGATGGCCTCGGGTTCGCAGCAGGCCTCAGGTTCACAGCAGGACACGAGCTTTTGCAGGGCTGGAGCGGAAGGCAAGCGTGACTGGGAGGGATGGCACAAGCAGATTTTGGGGGGTGGTCTGGTCTCTAATGACTCTCAAGGGCAGGGATGCTGGAGGGATGGGGGCCCTGAAAATGGGGAAGTGACCCACAGCCCCATTGTTGAAGTTGCAGTGGTGGGTTTAGGCAGCAAGGGCTGGCAGTGAGAGCCAGCCCCGGTGCAGCTGTGGCAGCAGAGCAAGGACACGCCAGCCCCAGACCTCCTCAGTCACCTTGAAGGTGACCTTCCTTTGAAAGCTCTGGGCAAGGAGCGCTAAGTGCTAATTACAACATCGTTATCATTCACTCTCCTTTTTCCCTCCTGTTCCTCATTTTTTCCGTGACTGCTCTCTGCTCTGCCTCCTTCAAGCGTTCCCACTGTGCTCGCAGTGTGGCTTCCCAGTGGCAGCGTGGGGAGTGGGTGACGGCTGGGACCCAAAGTAGGTGGCAGTGTCACATCCTGAGGCAGAGCTGGCACACAGGGCCCCAAGCAGCTTGGGAGTTGCCTGCAAACCAGGAGCTGACTCTCCCTATTAATCCTAAATTCACTTCCCACTGAATATTCCCCCCAGCTACAGCCCTCAAGTTGGTAGAGGGCCCCAGGAATTGAAGCAGGCAAGGAATTGCACCAGGGCCGGAGCCACTCCTGTGCCGCAGTCCAGGTAACCCCAGGTAGCGCAGCCATCCCATCCTTGGGGAAGTGGCAATGATGGGCTGCAGGGCAGGAGCACCCCAGCACCCTGGCAATCATCCTGCTCTTCAAAAAGCATGAGATCTGCTCACCGTAGCCTTCAGTTTGGCTCAAGTTGGTGCAAATACCATCGCTAACCATCACACTGCATCTCAGTCCTGCCAGCAAGCAAAGCCACCCATCCTCCCCTGCTGCTCCTCATCTTATCTGTTGTTAAAGTAATTGCTGCTGCTTCTGCCCGTGTTCCTGGCAGCCTCACCCATGGCTGGACTGACGTGGAGACCGGCACCACAGCTACATGGGAAGGGGCAGCTCCTGTCCCAAAGCATGGACAGTCTCGAGGGTGACACTGGGACTCTGTGGCATGGCTGGGACACAGGCAGAGGCTCCCAGTGTCAGCACAGAGACCTCACCACTCGGCTGCTTTCCCTCTACAAAACCTCATTTTTTTTTCTCACAGATGAGCCGTGCCGCCAGGCAGGAGCCAGAGTTATTTTAGTGCGAAAAATCTAGCCAGAAAACCAACTTTTTCTCACTTGAATTGCAATTTCCCATGCAGTATTTGCTTTGTTTGCCTGTTTTGCCCAAAGCCATGTTGATTATTTTTTTTTCCAAGCACATAACGAAACCTTCGCAATTTCTGCAGATGCTTCTAATGCAAATTTCCATTTGCTGTATTTGCTCATTTAATGGTTTCTCTAGCAAAAAAGCCAGCACCCCGGCACGGGGGCACATGGGCCAGCGAGCAGCAGCTCCTGGGGCTGCATCCCCACTCTGGCAGGGACCTGCTGAAAGGTGACAGTGGGGAACCGCATTTATTACACAGCAAACCCAGCAGTAGGAAACTCAATCTTCTGCGGAAAAAGAGGTTGAAGAATATTTCCTTTTGCCCCTGCAGTGAATCATTTCTTGGCAGCAGAGAGGAAACAGGAGCCTGGGCTGGAGTGGAGGGAGGCGAGGGGGCACATGAGATGGAGCCAGCTTCGGCAGCCTTCCTTGCTGTACCCAGCTTCTTGTTTTGGGAGAAAGAAACTAAGTTCATCCTTCCCTGCTTTTGTCCTTTGCACCAAGGGTAATGAGGACATCAGTCACGGTCACTCTTAGCAGAAGACAACCCACAGACATGAATATGGTCCCCTCCAGCAGCTCTCAGTCTAAACCAAACACATTTCTGGTCATGATTTCCCGGAGTTGGATCAGGCTATGTGGAAGGGGGCTGTGGCCAGACCTCCATGAAGACCAGCCCAGAAGCTGCCCCTGCAAGCAGGACTGAAGGAGCACAGCAATGTGACATGAAATGATGTGGTGTGATGGGGTGAGGACAGCCTGAGGTGGGCAGCATGTGAAGGAGATTGTGTATCCACGCAAAAAGCAGGATGTCACCATCTGCTGATCAGTCCCAGTGCCCCTTCTAAGCAGGCAGAGGGACAGATTCTTTCCAGCTCTCCCTTAGGAGGATCCCCAAAGCCTTGGGGATGTTCACTGGTAATGGGGTGCCAACTGGCAGCTGGAAACAGTAGCTCCAGAGCAGGGCTGTCCTCAGCTGGCAAAGGACATGGGGTATACGCCAGCCTTCCCCCCCCCACAGCTCTCACCTGTCACAGCCCCCTGATCAATAAGAACTCATTCTGGAAGTGGGTGGCTCCCATAAAAAAACCCAAAAATGCATGTTTCAAAACCTGGTGTTTCCATGACAGAGTCTTCTGTCGGGCAATTCCTCATTTGGTGCTGCTGCAGGCCCTGGCTCTGAAGTGGCTATCGGGGAGAGGAAACAGCTTTATTAAGTTGTTTGTTCCCTGCGCCCCTCCTGCAGCCTTGCCTAAATCCTTCCAAAGGAGCTCTGCAGGGCCTGTACTGCACCACAGTGTGCCTGGACCACAGACAGTGACGGCAGATGCTAAGGCACAACCTCTACTGCAGACACCAGCTGTAGACACCATGGTACGCCTGTACTACAGGCATCAGCTGCAGACACAATGGTACGCCTGTCCCGCACACACACTGACCACAGATGCCGCACTACACCTGTACTGCAGATACTGGCTGTTGACCTTACGCTACACTTGTGCTGCAGATGCTGACTGCAGATGGTACCAGACACCTGTATCACCGATGCCGGCTGTAAATGCTGCAGCACACCTGTCCCATAGGACAGGTCACAGCCTGTCTGTCCCTGAGGTGTGATGCTATGTCTGTAGTGTAGACACCAACTGTGCTATTACCATGCACCTGCACTTGGTGACACTCACAGCAGACATCTCTTGGGTCCGGCCCCACACAAACACCCTTACCAAAGCCACCCTCAGTTGCTCAACACAGGTTTGGCACTCAAAAGCACTGAGCGCCATCTCCTCCCTTCCGATCACCACTAGCCGCAATATGAGGGAAAACAGAGGTAAAAATAGCTGTCACTTAATGTCACTCACTTGCTATCAGCCCTAAAACCTCCTGGCCTTACAATGCTCCATCAGCGCTAAACTCCACTTTGCTGCTTAATGGGAGGAGAGAAAAGAAGGGTTTTATCATCTCCTTAATACGTGCTATCAGAAAGCCTTACCTGCAGAGCCAGAACCATGCTTTCTGAAAAGCCTTCTTAAACCTAATTTAAACCCCCACTGTCAACAGGGCGATTAGCACTGCCCCCTGGACAACGAGTGCCATGGGGATGACCAGGGCCAGCTGAAATCAATTCACTCCTGGCTCTGGCAGGCTGCAAGTTGTCTCCCTCCACCTTCCCCCTTCCCAGTAATGAAGCAGAGACGCTGAGCAAGAGGACGCCAAGGAAGAAGCCGCAGCCCCCCACAGCAGAGCCCCTCCATCACTGTGCCTCTGGAGTGTCCTCGTGGTCTAGGGAGATGGTAGAAGGATGGTCCTCACAATATTTCCCATCTGGTTTGGTTGAAGACATGACCTGAAGGTAGACACAGGTTTGCAGAGCTCTCAGCTCCAACATCTGTGCTGAAGCCTGGAGTTGCTCCGTCTTCCCTGGATGTCGCTGATAGGATTTCCCAGTGAGAAAGGCAGTGACCACAGCTGCTTCCCATGCCTATGGGGATGAAGAAAGTGGCTCTCCTGCAGGAAGCATCAGCCCAGCTAAAACCAGAGCTGCTTTCCAGACAGTACTGCAGAGCCCAGGGGCTTCAAGGGGAGCTGGGATGGTCTGGGGAGGAACA